TGATGATGATGATGATGATGATGATCATGATCATGCTCATGCTGATGCTGAGGCTGAGGCTGAGGCTGAGGCTGAGGCTGAGGCTGAGGCTGGTGATGCTGATGCTGATGCTCATGCTCATGCTGATGCTGATACTGATGATGATGATGATGATGATGACGCTGATGATGACGATGATGGTGGTGGTGATGATGATGCTGGTGATGATGATGATGATGATGAGGATGAGGATGAGGATGAGGATGAGGATGAGGATGAGGATGAGGGTGAGGGTGAGGCTGAGGATGAGGATGAGGATGCTGGCCATGATGATGCTGATGATGATGATGATGATGATGATGATGATGATGATGCTGATGCTGATGCTGATGATGATGATAAGTTGGTGTGCATGTCTTCATCAGGGGCGTCAGTAGAGCAAAGGGTGCAGATTGGAGGATTGGAAGGCCGCAGACGATGGACGACATTGGCGAATGTGAGAGGGGCCCCGGGAGGGGGTCGAGGAGCAGGAGGATCCAGAGGAGGAGGATGAGGAGGATGGGCGGGAGGAGCAGGATGAGCTGGAGAGGACTCGCAGGAGAAGAATGATGAGGTAGAGAAAGGCCAGGAGAAGGCGCAGCATCAGCAGCAAGATGTGATGAGGACCCAAGATGCTGGTCATGGCCCCCACCCGAGAGCTCGCCGTGCAGATCCAGGCTCAGTTTTCTGGAGGGAGCCAGTGGGGGCGACAGAAAGCAGGCTTCGGCGTTCCGCAGTAGTGCGCACATAGGGCAGCGCGCTGGCAGAGATTGTCGATTGCATGATTGGCGTGCGGGCTCCGCATACAACGTTCAACGCTTACCGTCGTATGTTCCCACAGGCCATACTCCAGTGGTCCACAGGCCAACTCCACGTTCCAACAGGTCACACGCAACGGGCCTCTCCCATCAGGTGTTTGAGTCGTGCCTTTTGTCCGGGAGCAGCACACAACGCGGAAACCAGCTGCTCTTATGAGTTGGTCGACTGCCCCTCCCCTATTTTCCGATGCGCTATGGGATACTGCTGATTATGAGGCCTCCAGAGGTCCAAACAGGGCCAACAATTCTTCAAACGTTCATCCTCCTCCTCCCCCTCCTCCTTCTCCTCCTCCTCCTCCTCCTACGATTACTATTACTACTACTACTACTACTACTACTACTACTACTACTACTACTACTACTACTACTACTACTACTACTACTACTACTACTACTACTACTACTACTACTACTACTACTACTACTACTACTCCTATCCTTATTCCTTATTAGAATATACTCCTACTCCCCCCTCAGGCCGGCCGATAGGGGCCGCATCCGGGTGGTCCCATCCTAACCTGTAAAAAACAATACAAAATCAACATTTTTCTTATTTTTTCCTCTCGACATGGACGTCCTGTCGTCCACGGCGATAATCCATTGCAAAAAATACCACAAAGAGCACACGCGCGCGTTCATGTCAGAATCCTACCGAACACCGTGTGTTTGCAAGCATTTCAACATAAAAACATCAAAAACCCAATGCTTTTTCACAAAAATTGTACAAATTTCCCGCCCGGGCTCTCTTGCTGAAATCATAGGAAAACCATAGGAATCTTAAGAATTCTGTCAAATCCAGCGATTTCACGTCATCGCGCGGTGCACTCGCGATGCTCTGTCATGCACCCAGGCCGCGAATCCTGTGCAAAAAATACCACAAAGAGCACACTCGCGCGTTCATGTCAGAATCCTACCGAACACCGTGTGTTTGCAAGCATTTCAACATAAAAACATCAAAAACCCAATGCTTTTTCACAAAAATGCTTTGGGGTGTCCTGTCAGACCGTCGGGCTTCCTCCGGCCACCTCTGGCTTCCTGCGGTGTACCGGGCCATTCTCGACTCGTCTGGCAATGCGTGCGCGGCATTCAACACGCGCTCGCCAGTTCCCGTCGGCAACCGCCATCGCGGCCGCATCAGCTGTACCAAACCGGCTGGCCGGTGTGACTTCGGCCCCCAGTTGTGCCAGCTTTGCTTCTTATGTTGTGGGAGGGCGGGTGGGACTGGGCATGCCATGTTTGAATCGCTCGAGCTGGCTAGCTTGACTCCTACTCCTACTCCTACTCCTACTCCTACTCCTACTCCTACTCCTACTCCTACTCCTACTCCTACTCCTACTCCTACTACTCCTCATCCTCCTTCCCCTCCTTGCTTACCTCCTCCCCCTAGGGGTGTCAGCGAGTTGTTGATTGCATGGGGGCTAAGTTTGCCGTCCTCGGGGATGTCGCACAGGGTCGCAGGGCCAGCATTCGAGTTATGAAGTCCTTGCTCTCTGCGTCAACACACATGCACAGTCCTGTGCTACACTTTTGCCCTGCGTCGACAGTTACCGTGCCACACAACATGATACACGTCAACGTTATCACGGTACATTTGCTGGGTTATGTTATTGTGCGATGGTGTGCAGGGGTTGCGGTCAGTAGTGCGTACCGCTTGCCGCTCTAAAGTACGGCATGCCATCCACAAAATGGCAACGCCGTAAAGGCGCATGAAACATGTGAAGATCTGAGAACATGTATTCAATCGCAGTCCTGCGCTGTGTCTCGTGCAGTGTCTCGTGCAGATTCGTGCAGTGTATTGCGCCATGTCGTGTATCCAATTTGGGATGTTGGTCCCGACGTGACGTGCCGTGCACGTATCGTGAGTCCAATCCGTGATTCGGTTCGGCAGTGCCGTGTTGGGCCGTCCCGTGCCACTCCGTGTGCAGTGCCGCGTCGTGCCGTGTCGTGTTGTGCCGAGCCGTGTCGTGACTTTGTACATATTGTGCAAAGTCCCTCGGAGGGCGAATTTGAATCCCCCCGTTCACCTACCCGTACGCTGCTGTCAGAAAGGTTCCAAGGAGTTTTGTTTACCGTTTATCCTGCTGCAATGACATGCTTCGCGGTTTCGGCTTATTGCATTCGATCTTATATGCTTCAAATTTTGGTGTGGAGCTGCTGGTCTTGGACGATCTTGAAGGCCCTGTGTTCGTTGCCCCGCAGGCGGAGGCGGACAAGTTCGGGCGCCGCATAGGCGCCGACCGGTTGAAGCCGGGATCTGCCCGCTGCCGCTCGTTGCTCCCTTGCCAGTGCGTGCTGGCAGCGATGGCGGACGAAGCCGTAAGGTCTGCTCGAGAGAGCAAGAGTCTCGGCTTGCTCACGCGGTCGGCCAAGTGATTCGGCGTTGTGGCCGCTGTGGTCGGGGCCGTACCTTGAGGTTGTTCAGAGGCTCCGATCGGCAGCGACGTGACCGGACTGGACGAGGGGCGCACAGTAGCAGCGAGATCAGTGTCTGCATGCGGACAGCTGTCGCGCAGGGGAGTGTTCCATCAGAGGTCCTGGGTAGCACAGGGAGCTCGGCGTAACAATTTGGGCATGCCCGCCATGTCGGAGTAATACTGTTTCCACAAAAGCCCTGCCGTCAGCGACTTTTGACTGAGCAATGTGAGCGCTGTTCTTTGAACATCTGCCCTAGAAAGCCTCGAGTAAGACAGCGAACGTGTCCAGGACCTGCTGTTTTCTTCACGCGGTCGCGAAGTGCGCGCGGTTCTCCCTGGCCAGGTTCTCCTGGCCGCTTCTCCCTCCCGATTCGGCTGCCGGGGGCGTCGGAGACGGAGGTGAGGCCTGAAGGGGGGTGAGCATATTGGAGCCTTGAAATGTCCTAGATCTCATCGCCCCCCTCTTCTTTCAAGACATCCCTTGGTTCCCCCCTCGTCCGCGCAAAACCATGACCCCGTTCTCCCACGCAACCGAGACTGGTAAGGGCCAGCTCTTCAGCGCAGAAGGGCCACATGCAAGCAGTGGAGGTTGGGGCCGCCCAAGGTGGTAAAGTGTGAAGTGTGCTTCGCGCGTGCCCGAGACCTTCGACGGCTTGTCTCTGTTGTAGCTCGTGAGCCCCAGAGGCTCAGGGGCTCACGAGCTGGCTTTTCGTCCCGAATTGTTTGCTTGATGGTTTCGGGGCCGCCCGCCCATCCTGCCCGTTAAGGGCCCTTTCACCCCACCCGCCCTTTCCGCCCGACCTGCTTGTCTTACCCTGTCGGGGTTTAACCAGGAGGTGGTATGAACAAAAGAAGTCCCCCCCTCCAAAGGGGGTGCGCTCATAGACGAAGACGGCGGGAGTCGAGGGTTTCGTGTGTACATGTTGAGTGACACGCGAACAGCTGAGACCGAACAGTCTAAATGATTGTTGTCGTTGAGGTGTGACTCCAAGTGTCTTGAGATGTCTCTCGGGTGACAGACGGGACTGGCTAGAAATATGATTGCTGGCGTAGGCTCCGGCCAATGAGCTCTTCGCAAAAGGGCTGAGGTCCTACGGGCGGCGCCTGGAAATCGCAGCAGCCAGGGCCAGCGGAACCCTGGACCCTATGGGCGGCAGGAGGGCCCAGCGCCGACCTAAGACATACACGCGGACCTCCGATAGTGCGTGTGTTCATGTCGTGCTGCTGTTCTTCTGGATTCACCATCCCTGAGAAAGCGACCCCAGGACACCTCCAGGAGTGTGCAGCTTGGCCAGATCTCTCGAGGCGGATCCAGTTGTGGCGACGAGGACGCCTCGGGAGTTTCCAAAAGGCCTGAATTCCCTCGAGCCACGAATCTCGACCCTGAGTTAGGTCGCGATCGACGGACCCCCCCCACCGGAGAAACGGCAACTTTCAGTTTGAGGGGGGGTGCGCTTGTCGTAGTGTTTGGTCTTTGATGTGCGAGTTGACGCGACATGGCGCTCGTGGAAAGGCTACTCGGCTGGTGAGAGCGATTGTTCTTGATCATCGCAGGTTCAATGATCGAGGATGGAGGTTCGGTCGACCCGCGAAGCCTCGAGCAGGCCCGGACAGCTGTCCGCAGTGGTGGTTCGTTCAAAAAAGGGCCTTGCCTTCGAGGATCGAAAAGTTGCCATCTCTTCTGCGGTGGAAGGTCGGCGGAAGGCGGCGGAGTCAAAACGGCGGCGGCTCCGCCAGCGGAAGCTCGGCGGAAGCCGGCGGAAGCAAGGGTCGACCTCCCAAGATATGCCAACATTTTTGGAGATGGCGCGGAAGAAGCAGCGCGCAGGGCCAGCCAGTTCGGGGCAGAGTGCCGCGCGCGCGCGCCCGGGCGAGGCAGAAATTTCACCCGCAGAAGATCTGCTGCACCGGGTGAGACGAAACCACGCCTTCAGCCTGAACCGCAAGAGATGACAGCACGTTTGGATTCAGGGTCTCCGGAATCAGCACCCTCATGCTGACGCGCGGCGGCTGCGGTCGGCCGTGCTGTCCGCGTGCGACGACCCGCGGGGCCGCGTCTCCGATCCTTCCGCGTGTCTTCAGGGCAGACCCCAGGAGGTCCAGGAAGGGCCAAAACGACCAGAGACCTCAAGCTTCGAAGGTCGGCTTGTGGGCTGCTGCCGCTTCGTCTGGCGACTCTTTGAATCGCATGGCGGGCTGAGACCCTGCAGTTTGAAATTCGCTTGTTACAACGAAAAAAACCTCTAGCCTCGAGCCTTGATCGCCGACGACGACGATGACGAAGACGGCGAGAAAGACGGAATCGACGCGCGGCGACCGCTCGAGAGGATCGGACACCTCCAAAACGAACTTCCGACATCCATTCTGGAGGTCTTTCCCTCCAGAAATGCAGGCTCGACCCGACCGACCCCCGCTTACCTGCTGCTTGGTGGGTCTGTGTGGAGTTGGCCAGTCGGTGCGCTGGCGTTTAAAAAAACAAGTCGAGGCGCCCAGCGGCCCCAGCCGAGGACAGCCCTCCGACGCCAACCGATTGAAAGGTGGGACGGGGAGGGAGGGTAAGAGGAGGAGGAGGAGGAGGAGGAGGAGGAGGAGGAGGTGGTAGATGAGGCTTGACTTTGAAAATGGAGGCGTTCGATCCTCCTGGCGTGCGGCGGCCGCAACCAAGGCGTCCTCACGGCGTGCGTGTGATGACGACGACGGCGACGGCGACGGCGTCAGCAACGGCAACGGCGACGGCAACGGCGACGGCAACGGCGACGGCGACGACGGCGACGGCGACGACGGCGACGACGACGACGACGGCGGCGGCGACGACGGCGACGACGGCGACGACGGTGACGACGCGACGACGACGACGACGGCGACGACGACGACGGCGGCGGCGGCGACGACGGTGGCGACGACGGCGACGACGACGACGGCGAGGACGGCGAGGACGACGACGACGACGAGGATGACGACGACGACGATGGCGACCAATCCCCACGGACCCCCAAAAATGGAGGCGCTTGATCCTACCGGCACGCGCGGCCGCGGCCCGAGGCATCCTGTCGGCGTGCGTCTACGGCGGTGCCCCCCGGGGGCCGCAGCTGCGCGACCTGCGGTACGGCTGCCACGTCGTCGTGGGCACGCGAAGCGCCCGGGCGCGGGCTGGCCGAGATCTCCTCCGGGAGGGCTATGATGTTCCAACCTGCTCTGGCCTTGATCACCAGAAAGAATCTCGAGCGCCAAAAAAGTACCGAACCTCGAGGGTTTTCACGTGTCGGGCCCTGGGAGACACTCGTCCGACACTCTTTCGACACTGTTTCGACACTCTTCCAGGTGCTCGAAATTATTTCTGGGATGTGGCCCTTGAGTACGATGGGAGCAGCATAGCTCCAGGAGGGCCAGGACCGTCAGATCGAGGATCGAGCATCGAGGACGGTCGACCACGAGGAGCATTCACCTTCATACTGGAGGTCCGGCCTCCATTCTGGATGCTTTTGTTACCCGTGCGTTCCTTAAGGCTGTTGCTTCCCCCAGGATGGAGGCTCGACTTCCGAAGTGGAGGGCTTCGATCCTCCGAGCCTGCCAGGATCCCCCCCAGGAGGATCAGGAGCCTTCAAAAAAGGAGGTTCGGCCTCCATTCTGGATGAGTTTCCCTGCGTCACTGGAGGCTTCGCGTCCCTCCAGCATGGGCGCGCGATTCCCACAGTGTCTCCGAGGTTGATGTTCTCGATATTTCTCCCAGGACAATGTTCACCAGACCGTCAAAACATCCACCTGGAGGGAGCGAAGGAAGGGAAGGCTTCGACACACTGCTGCAGCTTTCTCGGGCGCGCCATTGTCCTGGTTCATCAACGTCCCCGTTCTGGAGGCCCTGATCCAGAGCCTTCGAAATGGAGGTTATACTTTGATTCTGAATGTTTTTCACGTACAATCCTGGAGCTTTTGCTTCCTCCAGGATGGAGGCTCGACCTCCGAAGCTGAGGTCTTCGATCCTCCAGGCCAGCCAAGATCTTCTTCATGGGGATCAAGAGCCTCGAAAACAGTGGTTCGGCCTACACTCTGGATGAGTTCTCCCTGCGTATCTGGAAGCTGTTGCTTACCTCTAGGATGGAGGCTCGGCCTCCGAAATTTAAAAGTTGTTGATCCTCCTCTGGGTTCCCCCAGGCCGCCCGATCTCCTCCAGGTCGCACACGCCTTCGGCTCATCCTCGTTCATCGACGGAAGCCAGAGGACGTGTAGCGACAGCGGCTCCGCCCGCGGAAGCGGGGGGAAATCAAGGTTTGTTTTGGACTCAGGGCTTCTCGCACGGGCCGAATGGGGTCGAAGGATCACGCCGCATCGCTGATGCATCGGCGATGCGGCCTGATCGGGGGCCCGTTATTTTCACCCCGATGGCTCATGTATCGCTGATGCAGGGGCGATGCAGCGCGATCTGACCTCAGCGGCCTCCATCTCCACGGGGCGCCCTTCCAGGCCCTGCTCTCCCAGTTTTAACCTGGTGACCTCTCGGCTCGCTTTGCAGCCTTCGCCGCGCCGAGTCGAATTGGGATGGTCACATTCCGCTATCCTCCTCCTCCCTTTCCTCCTCCTCTTCCTCCTCCGCTCTCCTCGTCCTCCTCCTCCTCCTCCGCTCTCCTCCTCCTCTCCTCCTCCTCCTCCTCCTCCTCCTCCTCCTCCTCTTCCTCCTCCTCCTCCTCCCCGCGCTGGAAAAGGAGAGGACAGAGGCGGGCCAGCAAGCAGCAGCAGGGGGAGGAGAGGCGGTCTGCGCGTTCTCTCGCCGGGCTCTGAACAGCTCTGGGGGGGGGGACTGTCGGGGGGGGACCGGCTGCGTCGCTGGCCCCCCCGGCCTTGCCGGGCAAGCGGCCCTGCGGAAGCCAGCGCCGCCTCTACGTGGTTCCCGCGGAGTCCAGACCTGATTGGTTCAAATTGTTTTCAGTGAATTAGCGAGGTGCGGGGGGCGATAGCTGCAAGCAGGGGCGACCGGCCAGGGAGGGGGGAAGGAGGGAAGGACTGGGGGGCGCCGGGGGGCGGCGGTCGTGGGTCGTGGCGTCGTCGTGGCGGTCGTGGTGGCGGTCGTGATGGTGGTCGTGGCTGTCGTGGTGGTGGCAGCGTCTTGTCTTAATGATCATGACGGTTTTCGCGCTGGTGGTGGTCGTGGAGGTGGTGGTGGTGGTGGTGGTCGTGGTGGTGGTGGCGGTGGTGGTGGTGGTAGTGGAGGTCACAATGGGCCACAATGGGCGCGTCGTCAAGGTGGTCGTGAAAGTGGTCATGTCCTGTCGTAGGTAGTCGCGGTGGTTGTCGTGCTGGTGGTCGCCGTAGGCGCGGTAGCTGACACGGCGGCTGGCCTAGCGCCCGAGCGCGCTCAGGAGCATCTCAGCATTGCCCCGTTGGAGGGTTCCTGATTTGCCGCCAGAGGCCGCCTAGCAGCTCGAAGCGTTCGCCATCGTCCAAGTCCGTTCCGTAGTTGCGATCGAAGCTGGCTGCTGCATCTCTGGGTCGGCCCCCATTTTCGAAGACGAGCGGGACAGCGACCTCGCGTCTTATCCCCCGCCTGAGCGGCCGCCAAGCCATCCTGGTCGGCGCGGGCACCTCTGAGTGGAGCGTAGGTTGAGTGTACGCACGTGGTGCACCAGTCGATGAAGATCTGGCGGCCAGTGGCCGGGTCGCGTGTGGAGAGGTCGAGGACGGCTTGCTGAAGCACCTCTGTGCAGGGGGTGCGGCGATCCCAGGCGGGTATGGCCTGTCCCAGGGGCTCCGCGAAGCTTGTGACTGCCTCGTGCTTCGCAGAGTGCCAGTCGCGGCAACTATTGTGGCGGTTGTTGCGCGACTCGCCCACCTCGTATTTGGCTGTGTGCCAGCCGTGCAGGTCGAGGGGCTCGTTGCAGAGGCTGCCGTCCTGGCGGCGGTGCTGACAGCGGGAGCCCTGCGGGCATATTCGGATGTAGGACCGCCGCCCCGGGTTGCCGTTGAAGTGCGCGTCGGGCTGGCCGGGGTCGACCAGCTGGCGCTGGAGGAGCCAGCTGCCTGCTCCTATGCCTCCGTTATCTCGCAAGCGTAGGCGGCGGTCATCGTCGTGTAGCCGCAGCAGTTTCCCAAAGGACTCAGCTTTGCCCCAGTAGCTCTGCAGTGCAGCCACTGCAGTCGACACGATCTTGGAGGACGTCTGTTGCCCGGAGCGCCGCCTCCGCCTGGTCGAGCGTCTGTTGCGTTCGCGGACAACGGGGCCGGAACTATTCCAGCGAGTTGGCCCCGGGGCAGGCCATCTCGTCGTGTAGCAGAAGGGCGCAGTCGGCGGAGTAGGCGGCTCGCGCCGTCAGTGTAGCCGAGGGAAGGGCACACCCGCCGTCGGCGAGGCGCCGCGCGGCTTGGAGACGCCTCATCCTCCTCATCCTCCTCCCTGCCTCCCTCCCTCCCCTCCCTCCCTCCCTCCCTCCCTCCCTCCCTCCTCCTCCTCCTCCTCCTCCTCCTCCTCCTCCTCCTCCATCTCCCCCTCCTCCTTCTTCTTCTTCTTCTTCTTATTCTTCTTCTTCTTCTTATTCTTATTTATTATTATTATTATTATTATTATTATTATTATTATTATTCTTCTTATTATTCTTCTTATTATTCTTCTTCTTCTTCTTCTTCTTCTTCTTCTTCTTCTTCTTCTTCTTCTTCTTCTTCTTCTTCTTCTTCTTCTTCTTCTTCTTCTTCTTCTTCTTCTTCTTCTTCTTCTTCTTCTTCTTCTTCTTCTTCTTCTTCTTCTTCTTCTCCTCCTCCTCCTCCTCCTCCTCCTCCTCCTCCTCCTCCTCCACCTTCACCTCCTCCTCCTCCTCCTCGTCCTCGTTTTTTTTCTCCTCCTCCTCCTCCTTTCTACCTCCTCCTCCCCCTTCGTTTTCTCTTCTCTCTCTCTTCATCTCTCCTCTGCCTGGAGGACGAGGCTGGCTCTGGTGGCCTGTCGGGTACGCAGCGGCGGCGGCGGCCTGGTGCAGCTGCAGTGGGGGTGAGGGGGCAAGACCGACCCGCTGCCGCTCACGGGGGCCCCGCGAGCGAAGCCGCGGGAGCACCCCGCGCGCGCCCGCACCTCGGAAGCCGAGGCCCGGCCGTCTCAACGACTACCTCGAGGGCGGCCAGCTCAAGCTGGAGGCCTGCACGTACCTCACCCTGGACGAGGCCGTCGTCGTCGTGGTCGTCGTGGTCGTCGCCCTCGTCGAGGCCGCCGTCGTCGTGGGCCCCGAGCAATCCTGAGCAGTCCCTGGTTTTCCCTCGGGTGCGATTTCGATCTGAGGCCGATGCAGCGCGGTCGGGGTGGGCTGGGGCGAAGGAGGGTCAGAGGCGGGCGCGGGGCTCAGCTTGAAAGGCTGAAGCTGCACCTGAGAGCTCCCCCCTCTACGCCCCCAGCCCATCCCTCCCTCGAGAGGGGATGTTGCATATGAGGCTGCCTGCGCGCGCCTGGCGAGCCCCATACCCGGGGTGCTCACACCCTTCGTGGAGTCCCTCTGGCGCGTCCCCGCCCGGTGCCCGTGATCTCTCACAGCAGGCTGACATCGAGGTCATCCGCGGGGGCGCACAGGTACAATCGCGCTTCGCGCGCCGCGGTCTGGGCTGGAGCGGCTGCCCGCCTCCAGGGTGGCGGCGCGAGGGAGCGCATCGCGCATCGCGGGGCACGATGAGCGAAGTTCGGTGACGTAGGATAGTGCCGTTGCTCCACTGAGCCCGACGGCCCCTCGGGGGGACGGGCGCGGGACCACCCGCAGCGCTGCATCCTGCCCTGTCCCGCTTCCCCCGTCCATCCTGGCCAGTGTCTCGAGCTGCGTCCAGCCACGACGACGAGAGCATCCTGGCACTCCAAAAACATCCTCAACGAAAAGGCCCACGCCGCTGTCGCCCCCTCCGCCCTACCCCTTCCCAGGGCGAGGGTGCCATGAGTCGACGCCGCGTGGAGGAGCCCTTGTCTTGGCGCATCCCCCCCCCGATGATCCGCCGCTCCGCGATTGGGAGGCGGACCGGATGCTGGACATGGGCTTCGAGCCGCAGATCCGCACGGTTATCAACGCCATCCCGCATGGGCGCCAGACCATGATGTTCAGCGCGACGTGGCCCAAGGAGGCCAGCGCTGGATAAGCTAGGGTGGACTTGGGGCGGTACACGGACACAAGAGGAGCCCGTCCCAACTGCAAACCGTGTGATTGTATGATTTTCGGGTTGTGATGCGGCTGGGAACTTTTGCTTCGCGTGCCAGGATGGCGGCCCTTGCGACACGCTACGCCTTGCAAGCTGACAGCGTGTCGCCCTGCTTCGTGGGACGTGAGGCTTAGAAAAGCTATGGAATCTCGGATCGCTGGTGCTTTGGGGGGGGCTGGGACGTGCTTCGCATGTCACGCCGAAAGGTGGGAAGCGAGAGTCGGTGGCGCGGCGCGCTAAGCAAGCGTTTTTGGTATGGAGCTCAAACCGCGTGCGAGGCACACATGTACAATGCGTACACTATAGATGCAGCTGTCACATCCCTTGCCAGGGACATGTAGAACCGAATCTACAGTCACCGTTATCTAGGTGCCTGCGGCACCGCCACCGTGCCAGCGACGCACTCTTTGTGGCGATCTTTCGAGCACCGCCCAGAAGGCCGTCACAAGTCTAGCCAGCCCCTTTTCGTCTCTCTTGTGCCGTGGGCCCTCTTGGGACGCCTTGAGGTTCTCTGTCTTGTGGCTCTCTTGGCAGTCTGGCGGGTCTTGGGGCCGTCGTGGGACTTTCTTGGACCGTAGTGGGTTCCTCCAGATGCCATCTTGGGCCAGCTTGGAGCTCTCTCGGACCGTCATGGGCTGACTAGGAGCCCTCTTGGGGCTCTCAGTGGGCCCCTCTGGGCACTCGAAGTGGACCGGTCTTCGGACCTTCGACCGAAGAACGTGGAAAGCAAAACACATTGGGAGGCCAAAGGGCTGTCAAGGTTTGTGGCCTTTCGAGGACCTCCTGGAGAGGATCTTGGGGATATCTTGGGTCTTGGAGCCTCTTGAAGGCCTCTTGGGACTTGTCGGGCTCTTATCAAGGGCTGCGGGTTGCGTCTTGGGAGTGTTGGGCCATCTTAGCGACCTCGGTGGCAGTCTTGGGCCGTCCTGGAAGCTTTTGAGAGGCATGGGCGCGCCCCAGGGAGGCGTCGGGCCGTCCACGGAGCCTCGTGAGGGAGGGCTGCTGCACGCACCTGAGTTGAAGTCGGGCCTTTCCCTCTACAGGAGGAAAATTCAAGAACAGTCAAAAGATAGTCAGGGGACTTGTTTTGAATACTTTC